AACAAACACCAGCCTGTGAACAGCTTCTGCTACCGTTGGCATGTACTGAAGAACTAAGATGTCATGATCATCTTTAAGTCCCATTTGGAATTAGAAGGCAGGAAAATTTCACCTAATCGCATTAAAAAAAAAAAAGCTGGAGGTATTAATCCAATTAGACAATTATGGAATGAGACAATGTTACCCTTTTTCAAAACAAGGAAATGACTCGGCAAGATCAAATCAATTGATCCGAGTTCATACAGCAAGCTGAAGACTGCAGGACACAGAAATCTTGGCATTTTAGTTTATCACTGACTGACAGAAAATAACAATAAGATGAATAGTGAGTGTATGTCACATGGAGGAACTTAACCATAGATTATTTTTATGTATTATCTCCCTTCTTGTAAAATGAATGAGCCAATATGTACAAAGTGTTAACCCCTTGCTCTGGGGCACTGAGTTAACAGTGGAGCCAGATTTATTTCCAAGGGCAGCCTGAATCCAGAGCCCACAACTTAAATCATTATATTGGATTTGAGTCTGGGTTTCAATGAAAACATTTTCAAACTTTTCTACAGAAAAAAAAAATCTAGTATTAAAGATCTCAGAACCAGAGGTTCGGTGTCTCAGCAAGAATTCAGCTGTTGTAGAGCAGTGGTAGAAACGGATACTAGAAGATATCTAACAGGAAGTCCAGATAAAAATACAGCAACTTTGGAGCTTAAAATTCAGCCTTTCAAAGGAATCAATCTTTTTTTATTGTGAAGACACCAGGCAACTTTAGAAAGAGCCAAATATTTTATGTAAACTCAATATATCCCATACATCCTAAGTAACCCTATTTTGGGCTGCTTGTAATTTAAGGGTCAGAGTCCAAGAACCTAAGTTTCTACCTATTTTACTTTGTCCATGAAATGAGAACTACATACCCCATAACAGCATGGAGTTATAAAACCATGTAAGCTGAGGGGCATCCTGCAGAAACCAGACAGGAATCAATTGGCAAACAGTCTTAGTTTCACCCTTTCATCAAAATAAAAAATTGCTCTCTGTGCATTATTAACGATCATTAAAAAAAAAATCCCTATAGTCATATAGCTACAGAATTAAATTTTGGAAAATAGTGAATAACTATATAGCACCTCAAACCAATTTACCCTTACCAGTTTTCTTTCTTCACTTCCCAACCCCACGTTTTATTACAAGATATCCTGATCATTAACTATTAATCCTGTTTATATTAATTCCAGCTGATCCAGTAGCTTTCCAATCTGATTAATATTTCCTGTTTTGTATTGGCTGGAAAATTACAGAAACAACTGAATAACCAAGCATGACCAGATTTAAGAAAACACAGCACTTGCACACCCTTCATTTAATCACATTTCGACTGAAAACAAAAATGACTCCATTCCAAAGTTACGTTTAGTAGCTAGGATGCTTTCCCAGAACTCCACCAAAATGACATGAGAGGCAGTCTTGGGAGACCTCAACAGGCAGAACGCCACCCCCACTTCCCAGATTCCCTTCAGACACGTGCTTGCCGTCCGAATGCCAGCCCTCTGCTTGGTGGGTGCTGGGTCAATGCTGCCCGATTCTGTGCTTTGCCTTTGCTGGGCTACTGCTGAGCACTGCTCAGGGCATTTCCCCTTGGACAGCTCAGCAATCCCTTGTTGGGTTACCATTCATTGCTCCTCTAATATCCTATGCATTAGTATCTCCCTTGATGGCAAGATATATTACTATGAAGAAATATCCTGTTTCTACTCACCACTCTCTCCCTGAAATGCAGTATCCATGAGGGAAAATTTAATAAATATCTGTTTTCTTATTAAACATTCAAAAAAGCCATTTTAGTATGTTTATTTCATTACCACTAAACCTCGTGACAGTCTGTTAATACTGCCTGTTCCATGGGTTTAAAAATATATGCCAGAGACTTAAAGACAATCTTTCTTGCACATTTGTGATCAATCTTTGTACATTTTGTAAAACTTGATAAATGTCCTGTCCTGGAATGGCATCAATGCTGTTCCCATCACAACCCCAGCATCTACTCCAATGCCTGCTACAGCTTCTACAAGACACTCAACTAGAATTGTCTCCGAACTCTTTCAAGTACCAAAATATGCAAAAGTTCTGGAAATGCCTTATACACAATGGGTAATAATTGCAGTTAACCTACATACATTTTCCTACTTTAAGTTAACTTGAAGTTACTTGTTATAGCTAACATTAAGCAAAGCTATGGATGCTACATTGATTAGGGAGTAACATAAATATTCAGATATTCATTGATTAGGGAGTAGCATACATATTCAGACACCATTTTAGGGGGCATTCTTTCCACTCACAAGTGGCTGACTCCACGATTGCAGTCTGTGGATGTGGGGAGTGGCTATTTTGGTTGACTGATAAACTTTAAGGTGATTCTACAGAGAGAACCTGTGCCTAATGAATGAAAAGAACCTGCCAAGAGCAGTGTTTCTATCAGCTGTTGTGCTGGAGCTGACAGGAAAATCAAAATTCTTGGGTAATAATCTAAACCCTTTCAAGAAGGAAGCAACAGATCATGCTGGAAATGACACAACCAAAAAAGGGAAAGGTTGAGTGTAGCCTGAAACACATGCCATTATAAAAGCATGATATTAAAAAAAACTCTGCTTTAAGTGCATGCTTTCATAGACAAAAACAACAATCTCAAAAATCAGAATCCTGGCTCTGTCATCTGAGGATCCCAAAGCAAAGCAGGAAGGCTCATGGAGGGCCAGCGTTTACACAGGCCTCCCTGACCCACGGACATAGGGTAGTGAGCAGCGTTTACATAGGCTTGCTTGACCCACGGACACGGGGGAGTATGCACCGTTTACACAGGCCTCCCTGACCACGGACACAGGGGAGCCGGCAGCGTTTACACAGGCCTCCCTGACCCATGGACACGGAGGAGGGCAGAGTTTACACAGGCCTCTCTCCATGACCTACAAACACAGGACGATGGGCGATCACAAAGCTCCAGGATGACTATGCACACCTTCAAGCACAAAGCTGTGAAGGAGTGGACACTGTAGAAAGGCCTGCATGTGTAGATTCTGCAGACATTCTCGGTTGGACTTTACCTGAGGTCTACGGCCAGCAGCTGAACTGACCGATGTTGAAGACAAGGCAGAACCTCAGGTTTCTGGGTGGTCTTCACCACTATGTGAAGACAGTGTGCCTAAAGGTGATGAGGGCTGGGCTCCGTGCTGGGTGTGGCTAACACAACCAATGCTCACAAGCAGACTCTGAGGTAGAAATGTCCATCACTGTAATAGTGATCACACCAAGCAAAGCCAACCAGTCAAGATCTGGTCTACACCAAATCGTGAACTGAGAAGAACCAGGTCTTCTCCCCTAGACCACAACTCCTCCTGATACCCTGAAGAGATTTAAATGATTATGGGTAAGTTAGCTATCTCTGAAATAGAAAATGAAAACTCAACTGCTGGGCCAGTACAATGGCTCAAGTGCTAATCTTCCATCTCTAACCGTATGAGCCCATTTGTGTCCTGGCTGCTCCACTTCCCATCCAGCTCCCTGCTTATGGCATGGAAAAGCAGGGGAGGATGGGCCAAGTCCTTGGGACCTTGCACCCCTGTGGGAGGCCCAGATCTTGGTTCTAGAAAGGCTCAGCTCTGGCCACTGTAGCCATTTGGGGAGTGAACCAGTGGGTCGAAGATGTGTCAATCTACCTTTCCAATGAGAATTCAAAAAAAAATAATAATAATAATAATAAATGAAAGCTCAACTGCTGAAACCTGTCATAATCCAAGCAAATTGTATCTAGGACCCTTGAGATGATGGAATGGATGGACAAACCCCATTCTTGTTAATAAAAAAGCACGCACAAGACCTCAGTGCCCCAAGGGGCACACATGTTGTCAGCCAGGCTCAGTGTAGACCTTGCACAAGCATCCTCAATGATGTTTCAGCAGGCCCACCCTATACACACTACTGAGGTGCCAAACAGATGCAGGTGTGTCCTTATTTAGAACAGTTCCCAGTGGGAGAAAGCTCCTAGTTAGGTTATGCACAAGTCGGGACAAACTTCGGAGGGCAACAAGTTCCTCACTCTCCTTTCTGGAAGCCCTGGCATCAGCTGGCAGAACTCAGAGCTCTTCCCTACCATCCCATGTACTAGGTCCCTTATGCTTTCCCTGGCAGACATTGATCCTTACTCTGAGAACTTTAATCATCAGCTACAGGAAAACAAACTCTAGGTTCCAAGTAACTGAGTTAGGCTATCCTCTACAACATCAACCCTTTCATTGGAGCTACATACATCTGCATCATTTTCCCTCATCTCTATCTTTATTCCCCTACGAGAGTGGAAGCGTTCGCTCGATGGTCTCTGATTTCAAACAATTAAAGAATTAACGAGTGATGATTAACCAGAGGCACACTGCCTTACACTCAGATTTCCTCAAAGTTTCTTCCCCTACTGAAGCCAAAACAGTGCCAGATAAGCAGGAACATCTCTTTTTGTACAAGCAGGGCAAAGTCAGTGAGGAGGAACTAATGTGGACAACCCCCACGGTGCTAGAAGCAGCTTTAGAGAATCCCACACCATGGCTCCATTCTCCAGGTGACAACCAAGCCAGCCAGATGCGGGGAGAGTGTTATTGGTCAGTACTAGAAAGTGGCCATGTTAGGACTTCTGCTGTCACCAACAACCAAAATAAGACGATGTACCATGACACACACATGAACCCCGTACCAGCGGTGGACAACGTTAACACAAAGGCCATCTGTTGTGCAAACTAAACCAAGTGACAAATGCTTGGCTAATACAGATAAAGTGCTGAGAACTAAGCTTTGGGGACTAGGAGCAAGTACCACTGTGACTACTTGGTTTCAGTTGGGGGGGGGTTAATACTATGTGCTTATAATCCCGCAGATCCATGAGTAAGAGAGCAGAGGAACATTTGGTAGAAACCTGGATGTCTTCAAGGTTGCTATGAAAAAAACGAAACCAGGAATGATAGAAGTATATTTTCTTTTATATACAAAAATGAAGGCCCAAAATATGGTTTTTTAAAGTAGCTATTGACAAGATGGGAAGTTTCTGCTTTGCTTTGGTTAAAACAGCCCAGGAACCAGCAACGAGTCCCCTTTCTACTAACAGCACAGAAACACAGTGACATGGCTACTTTTAGTACAGAACAACTTCCAAGAGAAAATTAAGTTAATTTTAAACTAAGTCAAACGTCATACCAATAAATAATTTTTTTTTTTAAAAAAAAAGGTAGCATCTTTGTCCTACAGTCTTGGGCATAACACGTACACCAATTTAAAAAATAAAGCTTCTCCCACAATAGTAATTACAGGTGTTAATGCAACAAGCAATGAAAGGAAATTAATCTATGAAAAAGAATACTAGCAACCAAAATGAATTTTAGAAGTTGACATTTTCTACAACTGTACATCCTCTAAAATAATTGACCAATACCTTCTTATAGAACATAATTCAAATGATTATTGGCATTTCAATATAGTCCAAAAGAAACAGTTAAAAGAATATTAGGTACACCAAATCTGGAACAGAATTTATAATTCTGATCCACGGCTATGAAAAGGCAATCAACTTCAGTTTGAAACTGTCACCAGTGATGAAATACACTTCAGAAACATAAACATTGGGTCTGACAATCTTTAGTATTGGTTAAAGAAATCTCAGATGTTCATTGCTAATGGAAATGATTTCAATCCAATGTGCAAAAAAAGTGCAGCTGTCTACGCTTATCTGAAATATATAAAACCAACAATACTATGTACACCCTTTTAAAAAGATTCTGAATTTATTAATTTAAGCATATTGCATCTCTGTTACCGGTCATCCATGTGCTGCAGAGCCCAGCGCGTTGCGACCTTCTGTTACACACACAGGTGCACCTGGAGAGCACATCCATTCAAGTCCTGCTCATCATCACACATACAAACCCAATGGCGAAACGAAAACATTACTTGGCTCTAGGAAACCTTGCACCTGTAAAAACGTTGTTTCCGAGAGCCCTTTCTGGTCCATTCCACACACTCCTGCTGTGGCACACTGGCTGGCAACTCAGCCCGAGACCAGCAGCGACATGGTGGCCTGTTTAGCCTCCGGCACGTGCGACTACGGCTTTCAGGGTAGGCATGGGGCAAATCAACACGGATGAAACAACACTTCGGCAAAGCAACTCTTATTTGTCCTCAAGAACAGTTAAAAGAAAATAAACATAAAAACCAGTGATAGAAAATCAACAAGCAAATACAAATCAAATATCATTCTGCATTTCCAGAACTTGCTTTCGGATCTGCGCGGTATTCCTGGTGAACCACGTACCAACCTTTTCTGTGTCTATATCAAGTACTTTCATTAAGTTATTAAAATTGCTGTCTTGATCCCAAGTCACATATCACTCTAATGATTAGGAAATCAACTTACTCAAATATTACTCTGTGCAGTGCACTCACCGGCTTGGCAAGTACAGAGGGATTAAAAACACAACAAAGTCTCTCACTTCCAAACTGGAGACACAGGAGTCCTCAAAATCATCAAACGGGGAGAGACGAGGGCAAGGGGGGATTACTGGCGACATGAATACTAGACACCAAACAGGACATTGAAAACTGTTCGGTCAGAACCTAGGAACATAACTTCCTGGAAAAGTTTTGAAAACATCTAACCAAGCATTGCCCGAAGTCCAGCGAGTCCAATGCTCCGCTTGCGTTGGCGGGAGCCCGGCAACCAGTGCTCACCCATTCCCACCACGGCCACCTCCGTCCGCACACTCCTCCGGGCCGGGCCACCTGCCCCCGCCAACTCTAGCTGCAGGCGATTGTCTCCAGCTGCTGCTCCGCCTCGGCAGCCATGGCCGCGGCCTGCAACTGTTCCGTCTCGCTCTGCATGGCGCTGGGCGTCACCTGCTTCCTCTCGCTGTGCATGTTGTTCTCGTGCCTTTTGAGATCCGAAGCCTTGGCGAAGGCCTTGGTGCACGAGCCGCACACAAACGGCTTCTCCCCCCTGTGCCGTCGCTCGTGGTCCTTGAGGTGGGACTTGTGTTTGAAGGCTTTGTCACACATGTGACATGCGAATGGCCGCTCGTTGCTGTGAACCCGCTCGTGCTTCTTCAAGTCCGGGGCGCGGATAAAAGACTTGCCGCACACCTCGCAGCTGTAGGGCTTGTAGCCCGTGTGGATTTTCAAGTGTTCCTTCAGGTGGGCCTGCGTGGTGAAACCCTTGGTGCACATCTCGCAGACGAAGGGCCTGTCGGCCGTGTGTAGCTTCTCATGCTTCCTCAACCTGCCCTCGTCAGAAAATGTCTTTCCGCACGCCTGGCAGGCGATCTGCTCCCGGTGGTGGCCGTAGAGCAGATACTCAAACTTCATGTCGCTGGCCGCTGTGGTCCAGCCCGGGGTCTGTTCATCTTTCACCTCGCTCATCCCATCATTAAAGGTTAAGGCCTGAGGGGTCTGGGACCCTAAGTCTTTGGATTCCGGGGTCTCCATGGACTCTACTTCCTGGCCGTAGCAGTTGACTTTGCGAACTTCCTCACTCCCCAGCTCTTTGAGGATCGCCTCCTGCACCCGCAGCGTCGTGGTGGGTGACTTGCCGTCCTCCTGACTCGGGGGGGTGCCTTCTACCGTGTCGTCAGAGGGACTGTCATCCTGGTCCCCGATCTCCTCCACGTCGTCGTCCTGCGTGTCGGCAGCGTCCCCGATGGGGCGATTTATTTTGAGGCAGTACTTACTCTTGGACTGGCCGTTGTTTTCGTCGGGACTGGACACGTCACGCTTCTGAGAACACAGTTTATCCAAAAACCGGATCCCAAGGATCTGACCTGAGGACATCATCAGGTTGACATCTTCCTTTTTCACAGAAATCTTGGCCGTGTACATGTAGTTCAGGACTTCTTCGAAGATGTCAGACCGCAGGAAATCTATTTCTATCACCGAAGAGCTATCAACCTCAAGCTTCTTGAATAGCTTTTTAAAGTAGGTGCTGCAGGCGGCAAGAACACATCTGTGTGCTCGAAATTTTACATCCTCAACCACGATGGCAATGTCGCAAAACTCTCCCTCCAGGCGCTGTTCGTTCAGTGTTTTCAGGAACAGAGTTTTATGATCGTCGTCATTATATTTAATGGTTTCAGACATACTGATGAAAAACTCCTGCGAGAAATGGTTTCGGAAAGAAGGTTTAGTAGTCACGGATAATACCACTCTATAAAGAAAACAATGGCAGATCTCGATTTCCTGATCAATGTCTGGAGCCAACTTGAGAAAATTGATGTGAAAAATGATCCAAGGACAAATACAAAAAGTGATCACACCCAGGGGACACTTCTCTTTATCAACTGCCTATTACAGTAATAGCAACTTTTACAGACACTGATCAAAGTGCTTCACGTGCCTGCTTAATGTACTTTCTACTCATCTATCTGTTTATATATCTGAAAGAACGACTGGGTGAGACACTCTCCCATGCATGAGTTCACTCCCCACATGGCTACAACAGCCAGTGCTGGACCAGGCTGAAGCCAGGAGGCAGGAACTCCATCCTGGTCCCCGCGCCTGTGGACGATTGTCCGCAGCCTTCAGACACACTAACAGGAGCCTAGAAGCAGAGCAGCTGCAATGAGCACTCTCACACGGGTGACTGTGTCACAGGCAGCAGCTTAACCGGCAAGGCTACGGCCACCACCACTTCCGACACAAAGTCAGAAATCTGCCCAAGACTCTACCGCTGCGGAGTGCACAGCTGGGATCCCAACGAGGCGACACAGCTCCAAAACTCATGGTACGCAACAACTAGTCAGCACAAGGAAGTACCAGCAGCAGTAACTCAGCTTCAAGGTTTAGGAAACAGGCTGCTGACACAGCGCCTCCACTGTCTGTTCCATGCACTCTAATTCCACGTATGGGGAAGAACTAGTTGGCACTGTCGTCCTTCCCTGATAGCGGAGACAAATCACTTTCATACGTCTGAAGCAGACATCATTGCTAAACCATTCCACCGCAATACTTTATTGATAGTTTTCTTCTTGTTTTTCCGCCGTGGTCTGGGGCCACTCTGCAGGAGAGTCAGGGTTTAATCTAAGAGAATCAGGTGCCCTCTGGGGACACAGCGATGAGCAGCTTCCTGCTCCCAGCAGGGTGATCTATCACCTTCCAGATAAGGTCTGCACCCACCCTGCATGCCCTTGATAAGGACTGTACACCTAACAACTTAGAAATGGCACCAGAGACCTCTGTCGTCCCCTTAAGGAAATGATCTCTTGCACAGGTTTCCTTTTCAAAAATCCTGTTTTGCTTTTATTCAACAAGGTATAAAGCTGAAGAAAACACAGGATTTTTTTTTCTCGCCCTGAGAAATAGAAGCCTTAATGAACAATCACATATTTTTTAAAGCAAGCATAAACTCTACTTTTTGAAGACAGAACATCCAAAATTATAGTTACCATGAACAATTCAGGCTATTCTCTTAATGCCTTAAACACTGAAATCTTCCGATCAGAATTCCTCTGATCAGGGGCTTGCCAGACCTACAGAGGAGAGGAGAAACAAGAGTGAGGCAACGTTCATCTCGCAGGCTCAGCCAAGAACGTTTTTCAGAACAGATTTAAAAGATAGTAAGAATAAAGAAAGCCTCCCTTGCTTATTCTGCCTCTTGCACATGTACCCATTTCCACGTTGGCAGCCAAGAGGCAGGTGGATGGCGGCACCAGGTCCAGTTCTGAAGAGACAAGAACTAGAGCAGGGAAGGGCTGCAGCACCTGCCGCACGGAGGGGCTGTGCACAGGGCATGGCAAGGAAGGGATGGAGAACTACCCGAGGCGTTCTCCTCACCACCAAAGCCATAGCCCTACTGGAACAGGTGCCGACTGCTAGACTGAGCAAGAGCCACTGATGCCTGCGACCCCCACCATTTCCTGCTGACGACGCAGCCCTCCGCCTTTTTTCCCCACACTCAGAGCTGTATCTTCAACAACTGACAAAGCTCTGGGAGTACACAGACCCCACAGTTAACATGGCGGGAGAGGGAACGGCAGTGGCTTTTCCCCTTCCACACCTGTACAACATTGCACCCCCTTATCCTGAAAGCTGTAGTAGGGGGAAAAAAAAAAAGAGAAAGTTCTGATGTTGCTGCTTCTACCCCTACAGGTAGGCTCAAGGAATGTGAGCTGTTTGTGAGTTTTAACTCTTACCCGAAGAAACTCCATCCTGCAGACCAATATCCTGAAAAACATAAAAAGTTTCCTCCACTGAACAGTGACCACATATAAGCTGCTTGGAGCGGCAGGGGCAATGGGTTCCAACAGTCTGACACCACAAGCTGGGGCGAGGCTCCCACACAACAGCACCCTGAACACCCCCAGGAAGTGCCTTCCAGCTACTGTGGGCTGGGCAAAATCAGCTCAGGCTGCTTCTGACCGGGGACGTGATTCACGACTCCCTGTTCCCAAATGCACCCCAGCCTGCAGCCACCTGCAGATCCTTCCTGCCGGCTGTGTTAGTAGGCATTCGCCCTGGGGCCTGTGGCAGGAAAGTGCATGGGGCAACGACGAAGGAGAGGAGTGGCCACTGAGTAGCCATGGCAACACGTCAATGCGCTTTTTTTTGTTGTTTTGTTTTAGGCCAGCGTCTCTTGGGCCACCTCTCTCCCAACATCTCAGAGCACCGGAAACCTGCGGCCATGTGTTCTCTGGCATATATAGGTGCGCTATACAGATGTTCCCATTGCTAAGTTGAGATGAGTCAAACCGGAAGATCGCCGCTACCAGGGTGCTTGCAGAAAGGTGTAGGGAAAGATGGAGCCTCAGCTACAGCTCCACAAGGCACAGGGCTCTTTCCTAAAGGCTCTCCAAACCGCCCGCACCGAGCCGCGAGCAGCGCTTCCAGCGAGCCCAAACTTACATAAGCGGCTGCCTTCCCTACCCCCGAGAGCAGCCGTGACAATGGCGGCCCCGCGACTTCCCTGTCGCAAGCTCGCAACTTCGGAATGGGGAGGCTTCAGGGCACCCGGCGCAAGCCCCCGAGGGGCCTTCTAAGCCCTTCCTCTCCCGTCTCTGGGTCCAGGGGTGGAGTGGGCAGTGGACATTTGCGCTCCTGCTCTCCCCCCAACCCCCAACAAAAGCATCTAGCCCTCCGAGCCGGCGGCCGGAGGGGGCCCGCTTTTCCCTTTTCACAAGCAGGCGCCGGGGCGCAGGAGGCCCAGGGCCCTCGGCGCTGAGCGCGCCGGCTGCAAGGAGCGGCCGCGGCCCGCAGCGGCCCCGGCGGCGCGAGCAGCGGGAGCGGGCGTGCGTCCGGCTCCGCAGCCCCGCGCCGCGCCCGTCCGCCCGCCCGCCCGCCCGCGAGCCCGGAGCTCGCGCCCCGCGCACTCCCCGGCCGGCTCGCGCCGGGCCCTCCCCCGCCCTCCCGCGGCCGGGGGCGGGGGCGGCGCGCGGCCGGCTCCCCCGAGCTGCAAGCGGGCGCAGCCGGGCGTGCGTGCGCGGGGGTCCCCGGCGCCCCGGACTGGGGGGGGGGGTCCCCGGCTCGCTCGCAGGAGGGGCGGCTCCGGGCGGGCCGTGCTCGCTGCTCGGTGCTGGCGGCGGCGGCGGGCTCGGGCCGTCCCCACCCCCATGGCGGTGCACTGCGGCGCTGCGAGCGGGGGCGGCCATGAACTCGGCTGCCGAGCGCGCGCGCGGGGCCGCCGTCGCCGCTCGCCCGCCCGCCCGCCTGCCTGCCCGGGTCCCGGAGCTCGCTCCCCGGCCTCGCCCGGTCCAACACCCCCCCCCCCAACACACACACACACCTCCCACCCCACGCCCGGCCCCGGCCCACGCCCGGCCCCGCTCGCACCGCGCCGCGCCACATCCTGGAGCTGGCTGCTGCCCCAGCAGCGCTCGGCGGGAACGCGCTTCTCCGGGGCCGCCCCGCCGGGCCGCCGGCCGCCCCCGTGCCCGCCTCGCCGACGGCCCCGTCCCCCTTCCGCACACCCCGGCCCGCGCTTACCTGCAGCCTGGCACAGCCACGCACAGTCGCCGTGGGCTTCCCGCGCTCGCTAGCACGCAGGCCGGGACGGGATGGACGCGTGGGGCTCGGGTGGAGGGGGGCACGGTGGGTGGCAGTGTGTTTTGGATTATTATTTTTTTTTTTTTTTTGGAGTTTGGGGAGGGGACGAGGTGAGGAGGGGGGGGATCGTGCACGTCCCCTGATGGGAGCAGCCCTCCTCCTGCACGAGCACGGACTGTCTAGCCGGCCGTGAACACCCCCACCGCCGCCCCCCCTTCCCGTGCATGCGCGGTGCGGGCTGGGGGGGGGGGGAAGGCGCGCCGCCGCCTGGCGCAGGCACGGAACCCGAGCGGGCCTCGGTGTGGGCGAGCGCCGAAAGGGTTAAGCCGGGGCCGGGCCGACGCTTTTCCTCGGCGGTCTACGGGGGCCGCCCTCCTCCACCCCCGGAGGGGGCCCTGGGCTGCGCACGCGCGCGCACGCGCGCCGCTCGGAGCGCGCCGGAGCCCGCGCGCGGGAGAAGCGGGTGGGCGGGCCCGGGGGCGGGGCCTGCGCGGGGCGGGGCGGGCCGAGGCGCGCAGGCACGAGCGGCGTCCGCGGGCACCCGCCCCGCCAGCCGCGCCTCGGCCTGGCCCGCCTCACACTCCGGGCCACGGCGCAACGCCGGGAACGCGGGAGCCGGCGCGCCCGGGCGTGTGCATGTGCGTGGGCAGTACCGCTCGGAGCGCGCGCGGGGAGGCCGCAGCTCCCGGGGCCGGCGGCGCCCGGGCACCCCGGCCCTTGTGCGCTGGCTAGCCGGCGGCGGACGCGCGCTCGCGGGCGCACTGCCACGGCCTGAGGCGTGAGCTCATGGTAGGTCCGGAACGCACGATCGCGGCTCTGTGAGGCCAGCTCGTCGAGACCCCCCGCCCCGGCGTTTACCCAGGGCTCCGGAGGCCTCGAGTCTGGTAGTCTTGACCCTGAACGCGAGAGCTTTGATAAAACTTGACGCTGCCTTTGCTCTCCCGTTCTGTGAAGGCAGCAGCTCGGATACTGGAGCCTGTGCCTGCACGGAGACCCAGGCTGTAGCTCTCTCCTGCTGCTGCCCTTCCCACCTGTCTGCATACAGGAAGGTGGACGACACCACAGGAGACAACAATGGTATTTTGCAAGACATGCATACTTTTTTTTTTTTTTTTTTGCCTTTTTGAAGGTTCATCTGTTTGAAAGGTAGAGGGACAGAGTGGGAAAGAAAGATTTCCCATTCCACATAGTGACAACCGTAGCCAGTGCTGAGCTGAGCCGAGCTGAAGGGTTCCATCTGGGTCTCCAGCGTGGGTGGTAGCAGCCAAGTGCGTGAGCCCAGCCAAGTGCGTGAGCTGTCAGTTGCTGCTGCTCCCTAGGCGTGTTAGCAGGAAGCCCGGTGGAAAGCCGGGAGTGTGTGGGAATGGATCCAGGCGCGCCAAGATGGGATGTGGTGGCCGAGCAGCAGCGTGTTAACTGCCTGTTGCCATGATGCACACACATTGTTAGGTACGGAGGTAAACGCGAAGGAGTGATCGTGTGATTACGCTTGACTGTCCAAAGGAGACTATGTACCGCATCAGCTGATTTTATAATAGTGATTGTTGTTGCTTTAGTGTTTCCAGGTGTTTTGTACGCATCTCTCAAGTTTGCTAAAGCACAGGTGTTAGTTGGCAGCAGGAATCAAATAGGGCAGAATAAGCCAATTCCAAAGGCAGACATAGCCAGTTCAACTATCGACTGAGCTTCCTAAATCTTGGCTTCTTGTTCTTTGAATAGAGAGATGAAAGGCACTTAATGGGCCACTGGTGAGGATTAAGTGAGGTGACGCTGGGCTCAGTATTAGCACAATGGTGTTCAGTAACTGATGCCCACAGACAGTGGTTTCAGGCGGTGGTGACTGCACCCAACATGGCAGTTGGCAAAGTTTATGACCGTCACAGGTGATGCCCTGTGCCTGCATGCTTCATTGTTACAGACATGGCTCTAAGAGTTAGTTATTTTATTACTACTTTTTAAGATTTGCTATTTATTTTTATTGGAAAGCCAGATATACAGAGAGGAGGAGAGTCAGAGAGAAAGATCTTCCATCCTCTGGTTCACTCCGCAAGCGACTGCAGTGGCCAGAGCTGAGCCGATCTGAAGCCAGGAGCTTCTAGATCACCCATGTGGGTGCAGGATCCCAAGGCTTTGGGCTGTCCTCAGCTGCTTTCCCGGGCCACAGGCAGAGAGCTGGATGGGAAATGGGGCCGCTGGGATTAGAACCAATGCCCATATGGGTTCCTAGCACATAAAAAGGCGGGGACGTTAGCTGCTAGGCTACCATGCCGGGCCCAGACTTATTTATTTTATTGAAAGAGTTACAGGGAGCAGGAGAGGCAGGGAGATCTCCCATCACTGGTTCGCTGAGGTTCATCCAAATTTGGGAGCCAGGAGTGTCTCTGGGTCTCCCACCTGAGTACAAGGGTCCAAGTGATTTCCCAGGCTGTTAGCAGAGAGCTCCATCAAAAATGGAGCAGCCAGGACTCAAACGTGTGTCTGTGTGGGATGGCAGTGCCACAGGCTGTGGGTGTGCATCGGTTACTGCCAGGCTCCTGAAGTTGCAATTCGATGCTCTCTGTGGTTTGTGTTTATAGGGGCTCATAATACTCCATCGCAGGTCTGGGCATCAAGCATTGAAGAGCCGAATGCTGGGAGTTCCCAGGCATCCAGAGATTAGTCATTACTGCCTCTTCCCCGACCTTCCTGACCACCAAGGGGGTTCCCCGCTCATTCTGCATCTGTTTGTAGACAGTATGTAGTGTCTTCCCACAGTGTGGCTGGTTTGACGCACCAACGTGTGTTTCCCCAGGATCGATTCCTAACGGCTTGGGTTTGTATCCGCGACTCCTTTGGTCTGTGTCGTGCTCCTGTCACCCGGATCTGCCTGGTTACCCTGTGCTTCATCCCAGGAGCCATGGGCACCAGTCTAAATCAAAGGGCACCTCCGTGAGAGGGAGGAGATGTGAAAATTCACAGAGGAAGGCCTGACCCAAGCGTGAAATCTTGCCTATGACAACATCTCCCAGCCCTCCGTTTTCAAAAAGTAACAGCCTAGAACTTGATTCTGAGGCCTGTTGTACAGATAGCTTGTACAGTGAATTGGGGTCAGGGTCTTCCCGGAATGCAGGTTAAAACCCTGGTGGAAGTTTTCTTCCTTTCTCCCAGGAACCATCTTCGTGGGACTTATACCCCAACAAATGCAAAGTGACTGTTCTTCTCCACTTTTTAAGCATTGTGAGCACGTGGGCTGTGCGACCTGTGGAGTGCACTGGCAGGTGCCAGGTCCTGGAATAGCCATGGAGCAACCCCCAAACCCCAAGACAATATCTGGGCATTTGGATTCTTATAGTGAGTAGGAGTTGATATTTCCATCTTATCAATCTTGGGCCTTCTGGCTATTGCTTTCTCTTCTTTTTCTTTTCTTTCTTTCTTCTTCTTCTTTTTTTTTTAAAGAACATAGGGGTTTTTGCTGTTTTTAAATATATATGTATTCTTGGACCTGGTGCAGTAACCTAGCAGCTAAAGTCCTTGCCTTGAATGTGCCAAGATCCCACATGGGCACTAGTTCTAATCCTGGCTGCGCTGCTTCCCATCCAACTCCCTGCTTGTGACCTGGCAAAGTGGTTGAGGACAGCCCAAAGCCTTGGGACCCTGCATTCATGTGGGATATGTGGAAGAAGCTCCTGGTTCCTAGCTTCAGATCAGCTCAGCCCTGGCCATTGTGGTTACTTGGGGAGTGAATCAATGGATGGAAGATCTTCCTCTCTGTCTCCTCCTCTCTGTGTATCTGACTTTGCAATAAAAATAAATAAATCTTAAAAAATATATATATGTATTCTCATTTTAAAACATTGTCAGTTATTCGAAAGGCTGAGGGACCAAGATAAACAAAGATCTTCCCTCCTTTTCACTCCACGCGTGCCTGCATCAACCAGGACTGGGTCCAACAAAAGGCAGAAGTCAGGAACTCTGTCTGGGTCTCCCACAAGGGGAGTAGGTACCCTGAAATTGGGGCAGACACCTGCTGCCTTCTAGGCTGCTCATGACCAGGAAGCACTTGGAGACAGCACTTGAACCAAGCCTTCTGCTGTGGGAGAAAGACATCCCGTATGCCCTCTGGCTGGTTCTCACCCGTGAATACCAGCAAACAAGAGGGCAGGATGGTGAGCGGAGGCCCTGAGAAGCTGCCCTCCCGCTGTGGCGGATGCCCACGCTGCCACTTCCGCTGCAGCCCAGGCCTTT